CTTCAATATATTTATATGGTTTATACTTTAATGTATCTATTACTTCTAACAATAGTGTTAAATCTAATGAATAAATGAAAGTCATTTATGATGTAAATTATTTATTTAACACTTAGCATTTATAATTGTATTCATATTTTTGTCAGTTCCAATATGACAGCTAAAGGTCTCAAAATTATTGTTTTTTGTTTTTAATTTGTATATTATTTTAGTAGTAATTAATTCTTCCAATATATTAGCTTTTAAGTCTTTTTATTTTGTTTGTTGAAAAGAAAGAACAGAAACAGAACATCTTAAACTGTATAATTGAAATTGGTGATTTGCTTTTTGTCCTTATATTATGATTTTGGGTATATGGTTTGGCTCTATGGAGTACTTATTACACACTGTTGACATTTGTTGGATTAATCAAGCAGTAACGGGTAAACAGTTTTATTATAACTATAGTATGCATTTTGGACAGTCTGTTTTTTAAACTATTTTAATCATTAATCATTGTTTTGTAACATAATACTGCTTTTATTTTAGTCTTGTAAACTCACCAAATTGTAACAATCATGGCTGATGAGGGGACACATAGACTGTTTAAAATGCATATCATAGTTATAAAAAAACTGTGTTTACCTATTACTATTTGATTAATCTGACATGTCAATAGTGTGCGATAAGTCCTCCATAGAAGCAAACCTTAGTGCTCACATATCCAAAATTATATAATTGAATATTGATAAAAAAAAAAAAAGACAAAAACATGAATGCAGGCCTCTGTGTCGCTCACTTTTCTCACTTGTACTTACTTTTCTGAAGTATCCTCACTTTTCTCACTTTTTTGGTCATTTCCACATGCTTAAAAATTAGGAAGATGTGGGACCAATCAAAAATAGTTTTAAAGCCAGATGATCTGCCGAATTATCGAACTATCGGACTAGAATTTTATGGAAAAAATACTCCGCCCGAGCGGGACTCAAAATCACAACTGCTGCTCAGTGTTGTTAAGTTATTGTCTGTATTTATACGTAACTAGGTAGTATTTCCTCTGAATAACAAATAACATTAATAATACAAAATATAACAACAGTAATGAATCAATCAGTTTTACTTTTTATTTTTTTAATGCCAATGTACCTTATTAAATTGATGCCTCTAATTGTTTTTGCCTTGATTCGGATATAGAAAAAGTTTTCATCATTGAGACTTGTTTATTTGAGATTGTCTCCACAATCTCAAGATTTTACTTTGGGTTAACCACCCTTTAAACTCTGGTAGGGCTTTCCACTCGTGTTTAAAGAATTGTTCATACAGTATTTCTTTTTTAGTAACACCGGTACTAGAGCCTTCATCACCACTATTGTACTTTTGGTCACTCATTTTTGGATTTCTAATATTTTTAATTATTCACAGTGTGAATAATTAAGAGAGTACATTTCTGGCGATTTCTGTTATAATGTAACCAGTGATTATGCTACTACATAATATAAGTCGCTAAACAGATCAGCAGAAATAACTTTGTATTGCAATAAAGTCTATTACAATATATAAAAAACGAAGGTACAAAGAAATGTTTTGTTGAGAATTTCTAGATACATTGAAAACAAAAATTTCTTTCATGAATTATCGTCAACTTTTCGCTAGATTTGGTGCTTTAATCGGTAGATCTACCGAAAATTCGGTAGACGCGGCAACACTGACTAGACGTTCGCGGTGCTACGGTTTATAACTTTGTTAAATTTCTTATGATTTTAATTTGTAAGTAACATTTTATTATTTTTATTAATCATGAATTGCAAAAGGGCAACAGAAAAAAAAAATGACTAGAATCACAACGGAACTGAAAAAAGAGATTGTTGAGAAATAAGAAGGTGGCACGCGTGTTTGAGATTTAACGAGATTTAACTGTTGCATTCCGTATTCCGAGAACGACGATATCGACAATCGTGAAAAATAAAGACATTATTAAATTTGCTAACGTTGCGAAAGGGGTTAAATCAATTTCTAAACAGAGATCGAAGACATTAGATCATGTCGAGAAATTGCTTTTGCTTTGGATAACTGAAAAACAGTGTGCCGGCGACAGCGTATCGGAAGAAATTATTTGCGAGAAAGTTAAAAGGATACATGCTGATCTCATGAAAAATCAAGCAGAAACTAGCGAGGAAAGCGAGGTGTTTAAAGCCAGCCATTTTTTTTACATAAGAACGGATTAATCATTTTTACATTACTTCTTATGGAAAAGGTTGGTTTGGTATACGTCCTATTCGGTATAAGTCCAAACACTAGGAATGGATTAAGGTCGTATACCGAGGTTCCACTGTACTTGTTTATCTATTAAAGTATTTTTGCTGCTGGATTTTTTGTGTTTATTTAAGAAAATAGATGTCAAATTGCTTCTCTATCAATTTTCTCATCTCCTCATTTACAAAATTGTGCCCATTTAAACAATATATCTATTGAAACTAGTTTTTATTGTATAGAATCATTAATTCTATTGCATGATTAAATGAAAGAAATTGGAGAAAGTGTGAGAAATTTGACAATACTATAAAAGAGACTTGTTGACAGTAGCAGCTGGCTATCCTTGCTATTTATTGCAAATTGTAACAATCGCAGCTGATGAGGGACACATAGACTGTCCAAAATGCATATCATAGTTATAAAAAAAACTGTGTTTACCCATTACTATTTGATTAATCTGACAAATGTCAATAGTGTGTGATAAGTCCTCCATAGAACCAAACCTTAGTGCTCACATATCCAAAATTATATAATTGAATATTGATAAAATACTATTTAATAAATTCTGTTCTAATGATTCTATTCAATAAAAACTGTTGTTACTCAAGTCAATAGTACGTACATAAACATTTAAGATTTAAATGTTTAAGTACTATTGACTTGAGCAACAACATTTGAAAATGCTTTTCAAATGTTCTATCCCCACACAGGCCCCGAACTGCAAGTTATTAATTAAAAAGTTTGTAAATAAACATTTTAGACAAAAATAATTTGGGATATTTTGCATAATATTGTCTTAATCTTTGGTAACTTTTTCTTTAACTTTTCACTGTGAAAATTCACTATTCTATAATGTACACAGTTATGTTCATTCTGTTTAACTCTTTCAGCTCTGAAAATTTCTTGTTTTTCTGTACCTGAAGATGAAATTGTTTTAATCCTTCAGGCTACAAGGGAAATTTGCATAGCAAAACTAGTCAAACCACTTTCCCTTCAACTGTTTTGTCTCAAACAGATTAAGCCAATTTTGTGTTTAAAGAGTTAAATTATGTGGTACAAGTTTTTAATTTTTAACTCTGTGTGATATGGATTCAAAGAGGGTCTTTTTTCCATGCTCAACAAGAGTTTTACCAGATCTTCAATGGGATTACCTGAGTAGCGAGGAATAGGACAATACCATCTATGAAGAAGATTTTTGGTTTTATAAAGTTACTAGTTTGAACATTAATTATATAGTATTCCTTGAAGACGACATGTTATTGTTATTACCATTCTAAATTTAGACTTTCAGAGTAGTTTATTAAAAAGAATTTTAACTATGTAATCCTGTGGTCCCATGCATAAAACCTGTAATCCACAGTTTGTCAAATTTCATGCTCTTGATGAATTTTAATTTAGAATTTTCTGAAAATAAAGAATCAGCCTGAAGTGGGACTTGAACACTCAACTCTTTCTTATTGTGTGGATGTATTGCCAGTTGTGCTACCTGGATTTCAGTTCAATATTCACTTCCAGAACTATTAATTAAGATATAATCATACTGGTTAATTAAGGTGTCAACTGGGGACAACATCAGTGCCCATGGCCTGTAACTCCCTCCATAGCACTCATCTACAATCCATTTTCTCAGTAAATAGGAGCCTCAGGTTTGAGTCTTGCTTTAGGCCAATTCCTTTCTTCAGGAAAATTCTAAATTAACAATTCATTTATTATAATAATTAAAATTAACACAAGATGTTGTCATGATCACCTACTTCTAGACAAATTAGTTTCTAATCATAAACATCACCATTTAATAACTCAATAAATTGGATTTAAAGATAAGATTGAAGACGCAATCATAAATAACATTCTAGAAGATACATCAAAAGAAAAGTTTAAAAACTACTTGAAAATTGACAAGGAAATCTCAGTGTCTGCTATGATGTCATGATAACAGACACTTGAATATACCATATGTTACTGAAGAAGACTGGAGAATTTATCTGATGAAATTGAAAAATATTAACATGAAGATAGTTTTAGATTTTATACTGTATACTAAAAATTTTTACACTCTTCTCTTGCAGTGAGATTAATTTCATTTAATTTATCTATGCTCTGTTTTCAACTATGACATCACTCCCCATTAACCACCTATTGTGATAGGCAAGCCTGTCACAGTCTCTAGTGCATCTTCTTTACTTAGCACATTTATTTTCCAGTTTTATTTTCCAACTTTAGCGATTATCCTGTCACGAGCTAGCTGCACAGCTTTCATTTTTACCAAAAGAAAAAAATTAACGCCCTCTGTATCGTCTAGAACTTATCATCAATGATGACGTCACTGGTAAGACAATACTTATGTAAACATTGACACTGTTTGAATTTCTACCAACTGACGCTCTAACAGACCACAGTGTACCTGAAGAAAGCCGAAAATGTTAGTACTCATGTATAAATGGCTAAAAACAAGTGAGAAAGGTTTTGTCTTGGTCATCAGTAGTTTACTACAAAGTTCAAATAATTTCACAAATACACATTTCAGACTTTGTAGCTGAAGTATTATAACACAAAATTTTAAATGCCATAATCATGATTCAAGTGATGAAGATTTGACAAAAATTAATAATTTTTATAGCTTCATTTAACACAATTTTAAATTTGCTAAGTTTTAATTAAAAAACGTAGTTTATCTTTAAGATTTTAGCCATTAAATTATTATATTTTAATAATAATTTTAGCTTTCATTTCTTTTGTGACATTTAAAACTTAATATTTATTATTAGAAATTGTATATTGGGAAGGAAGATTGAAAGAACAAGAAGAACGTTTAGTTGCATTGCAAGAAGAAGTACGAAGACTTGAAAAAGCACAATTAGAACATGAAAGTGAATTGAATCAGTTGGAACAGCACTCTCTTCTAGAAGAAGCAGAACTTGGACGTCAGCAAGAATGCACGTTAAGATCAGAACTGACATTAGCTAGGTCTCAATTAGCAAATTGTGAAAGTGAATTACTTCAGTATCGACAAAGAATTAGACAGTTATTGGAAGATATTGCTGAAGAAAGGAGGAGACGTGCCAAACAAGAAGAACAAGTAAAGAAGGAACGTGAAGAACAAGAACAGACTGTACAAAATCAGTTGGCAAATTTACAGCAACAAATGAAAGAAAAAGGAAAAGAATTAGAAAGTCAGGTAATTAATTCTTAATTATGAATTTAAATGATTATTTTTTGAATTGATAATTATTTTTAATAAAAATTTATTGGGAATATTTTGAATAAATCCAAAAAATTTCTCAATAAATTTTAATATTGAATTTCTCAATTAATTTTAATATTTGATGACTTCAAAAATATTTATCTGAAGTAAACAAACATCTTTATTAAGAATGTTCTTGGGAATGAGATTTAATTATAATTTATGCCTGTTTTGAAAATTTTTACATTGTAAATGTAACTTAACTTATTATTAAGTTGTTCGGAAAGTAAGTTTGTTTTTTTTTACCACTAGACGAATTAGTCATATTTTTTCAGCCATTTTCATTATAAACCGTATTATCTATATATATTTTGACAGCTAGCATTTTAAGGCTTATTTGTAAAAAATCTTGTTTGATTTTGTGCAATTGTTTATTTTTTGTGTTTTATCAAACATGGAAGATTGAAAGCAACATTTTTGGCATATTTTGCTTTTTTGAAAAATATTAACATGAAGATAGAACAACAAAATATGCCAAAAAATCAAAATGCTGTTCAAGCAAGGAAAAAATTGTGGTACAGTACATGTATGGAGATGATGTGTTGACAGAATGACAGTGCCAAAACTGATTTACGAAATTTCATTCTGGCAATTTCAATATTGAAGATGCACCACGTTCTGGATGGCCATTTGAAGCCAATGAAAACAAAATAAAAGTACTGATTGAAGCAAACTGCCGAATAACAACACATGAAATCACTAAGAGATTAAATTTGTCAAATTAAACTGTTTATGATTACTTGAAACAAATTGGTTTTGTTTCAAAGCTTGATATATGGGTTCTACATGTTCTTAAAGAGAGATGCTCTTTTTGGTGGGATTTTAAGGAAATTTTTTTTTTGGAGTTTTTACCAGACAATTCAACAATTGATTCGAAAGTGTACAGCCATCAAATAAACAAATTGAGTAATATCATCATATAGAAAAGGCCAGCAACAAAACAGGTGTAGTGTTTTACTATGATGATGTCAAATTTCACACAAGTTTGGTAACTGGTCAGAAACTGTTATAACTTAGATGGGACTTGCTATCACACTGACCATATTCGCCAGATCCAGCACACTCAGATTATTACTTGTTCCGGTCTATACAAATTTTTTTTAACTGTAAGACATTTACTTGAAATGACAATGTCAAAAATCACTTGGATCAGTTTTTTGTAAGCAACGATCAAAACTTTTATGAATGTGAAATCATGCTACTACCAGAAACGATGACAACAGGTATTTGACCAAAATGGTCGATATATAATTCAATAAAATATTTATTTAGTATAAAAATATTGTTTTTTTTTTTCCACAGAAAAAACAAACTTACTTTCTGAATAACCCAATAAAATACTTTGAAGTAAATAAGATATTTAATATATTAATAATGAAAATTTTTGTAAATACAGTTGACCCCCCATAACACGGGTTCCTGTAGTTTGGATTCCTATATCACAGCAAAAAAATTGCGACAGTATTTGTACAAACATGCTAAAATACTTGTATAATTCGGTAAAACGTCATCGCCGACTCGTTTTGCGACAGGATTGGTCGAATCTAGACCAATAGCAGATATTGTACAAACCGTTGAGTTTAAACGAGCAGCGGACCTACTAAAAACCATTTATTATTTAACTTCCATAAAAATTATATTTATATTAATGATGTCTCCAAAGTTAAGTGAATTTTTTGAAAAAAAAAAAAAATTTATCAGGAAGCATGCGAGCGCCATTCAATGACAAGCTCCATGACGAAAACAAGCTTAAGCAATGGCGTAGTCAAACAGTACACACTCAGTAAGTAATCCTACAGTAATTTGTTTATAGCATAATTTATATGGATTACTCCCAAAAAATTATATGTATTTTGGAAATGTTGAGTCGAATTAGTCTAGAATCAACTAATTTTATGGAAGAAACCTTTCAAACAGCCGTAGTCCGTAAACTGCATACGTGCCTGGTTGTGATTGGCTGGACTCGTAGAAAATGGATTCATAAAAACTGGAATGTATCTACTGTTATAGGGGGGTCAACTGTAATGAAAATTATATAATTGTCTTTACTTTAAAAAAAAACAATTTTTATTTTGATAAAATTATAAATATAATTGTAATGACAATTGTGATGGAAGCTGGGAAAGTTTAAAACAGCCCCAGAGTTGTAATTTTCAGTGTCTGTCTGAGGAAGGTACAGTACTTAATATTTAGTTACCACATGATCAACAAACACATCTTTTATTATTTTAGGAAATATGACTTACACAGTGTGTCAGTTAAATAACATGACTGTTTTTATAACCTAAACACAAAATTTATTTTTCAAAAAAAAAATTTATACATTTTTGACAATCCCATGCATCACTACACAGTTCTAACATCAATCATAGAGATTGTTAAAGTAGTGCTGAAAGTTTTCAAATGAATTACTGTTCAGTCACTTGGTTGTTGCCTTCCGGATGCTCTGCATATTGTAAAACACTTTTTTAAAAGCAATTTTGATTTGCAGAAAGAAAAAAAAAATGTCAGCAAGAGCCAAATCAGTGACTAAAGACTGAAATGCTGATGACCATACAGAGCTCAAAAATTGTGTAACAGTTAGCACATTCAGCTGCCACATTATTGTGTGAAAGAAACCAATCATTTTTGACAAATCATTTGTTTCTCACTTGACACATTTGTTCTCTTAACGTCTTTATGATGATTAAATTAAATAACACACAGCATTAATTGTTGTCGCTTGGAGAGTAAATTCACCAACCTCAATAACAGGCTGACTTTGCCCTATGTCATCTTCAGTGGACTCTAGATCTTGCTGAAAATGAGTATGTCATCAGAAAACTAGTGCCCTTCTCAAACATTTTATACCAAACACAATTTTTAAATCCTATAAAGTTACTGTGAACCTAATTTTCCCTAATTTTCAGTAAAATTTAATGATTACCCATTGCTCCACATTACACTCATTTACCTGATGCTCAGAGATGCATTCATTAAAAGGATCATAAAATGAGAAGCAATGCATATTTGCATCTGTGTGATTTATGGATGGAAAGAACCAATTTTTGCCACTAATGATCTCAGTGGCAAAAACTAGTTCTTATTTCTATCCATAGAGCATGCAATAACACCCCATTTTTTATTTTATTGACACACTGTGTATGTCAAATATCTTAAATTATATTTCTAAAATTGTAAACATTAGTATTTTTTTTTAATATGACGCTATAATTTAATAATGACTAAACCATTCATTTAATTCTGAACTCTGTTGAAATTAAAAAATGTTTGTTTGATCTAAATAACATGTCTGTTTATTTTGGGTATGCAACAAAAATTCAAATTTAGAAATTAAATTAATATTTGAAATTAGAGTAAAATAATTATATGGCATTAGACTGTAATCTGTTGTGTATCTTGACCACAATTCTTATGAAAATGAGTTTCTTCCATTTGATGTCATTACATTCCTTTGGAGTGCGTTCCTCTTGATGATAGACTAATAAAAAAGACCTGTTGTTAGTGGTGATTTTTCATCAGTTATGGAATGTATTATGAAAATGTAAACTTGTTTTTTAAAGTTAAAAAATTATTAAATTATATTTCAAAAAGTTATTAAATTCCCATATTGATAAATATATTTAAATGGCTTATTTTTTTTTTAAAGATTGCTTCTTCACTGACTTTTATAAAAATAATACTGAAATAAAAATAAAGTAATTTAATTAACATTTGAAACTTGCAAATACAGTGGGTGATTGCTTAACGAACAGATCGGATAGCAAACAAATTGAATAACGAACACTTTCATGAAAGATTTTTATGATCGGACAACGAACACATGTTTGGATAACGAACGCTTTACTGAACAAACATAAAAAGAAGCGACGGAAAATAACGAATACCGATTGATTTGCCCTTGTGTTCAGGTAAAAATTTGAAACCTTTTGGAGCGCGGGATACTTCAACATCAGCGCTTAACCTGATACTGATCAGATAATTTTTTGAAACTCTCCCTTGTAATTTCAGCTTTTTGTTTACCTTTCTGACAAATAATTTTTTATAGCATTCATGAGACTGTCGGGCGGGCACTTATTAAGTTTTCATCAGGATTTATTTATGAAAGGTGAAAGTTTAACTGTCCCATCCGATATTCGTTAATGTTTTAATACCAAATTTTGAATTTCATCTGGGCCTTGCATTTAAATAATTTTTTGTGGGCTAGTTGATTTCTGTTCTCTGAATTTTTGTAAGTGCTTTTATGAACTTTTTATTTAAAAAAGAAACTGATAATATCATGGAGCCTAAAAAGAGGAGTGTCAAGAACAGTGCTCACCGTAGAAACCAAGTAAGAGATAATAGCCAAGGTAGAAAGTGGGCGCAAGATGTCTAATATTACTAGGCAGTATGGGTCAAACAGATCTACAGTAGGCACAATCTTAGCTATGAAAGATATATCAAGAAGTCTCAAACTGCTAATGGAGTAATGAAAATCACACCTGAGAAATAAAGAGCATTTTAGAGCTCATAATGGAATCTGAAACTGATCTGATGACAGAAGAACTCCGAGAACTCTCAAATGAAGAATACCAATAAACTAGGCAAGATATGTTTTCTTTTGAAAAAGAGGAAGATGAAAGAGGACCAATGTCGACATCTGCTACTAAAGACCTTTTGAATAAGTGGGAGGATGTTGGAACATGATCATCCAAGTGGCATCCAAACCAGAATAAGGTTAATGGGGTTGGGGATCTCTACAATTACAATACTATTAGTTACTTCCAAAAAATCGTGAAATAAAGAGAAAAGCAATCGTCATTGGACAGATTCTTTAACACCCACAAACAGAAAAAACATGACTAATAAAAATGCAAGATTGCATATACAGTGGTGCCTCGTATAACGGATGCTGCGAACAACGGACTTTCCGCAAACAAGTGCGAATGATGTTTCCACTCTTTTGCCGTTGCCAATGACAATGTCTGCTATTTTTATAATATATTAGCATTATTAGAATATATTATTAGTATATCTGAAGTACAGAGCTTTCATTTGGATTCGGCTTCCTCCCTTGTTTATTATGTACAGTACATCACCTCAGTGAAGAGTATTTACATTTATTTAAGTGTTGTGCAAATCATGGCTTCTAAAAAACAGAAAGGTGATTTCAATTGAAACAAAGCAAGAAATCATCAGAAGGAGTGAAAGTTGACAAAAACTTCCTTGTCGAATAGAGAGAGGTTCAACAGTTTATCAACACTCATTATCCAAACACAGCTGAGGCCAATAGGATCAATGATCTCTACAATGACACCCTTGCCTGTCATTTCTGACAGGTGTTGAAGAAGAGAGAGAAACAGACCACCTTGGACATGTTTTTCAAGAAGCCAGCTGCCAAAAAACAAAAGATGGAACAAGAGGAGTTGATCCTGCAAGCTCCGGTAGCCTCTCCTGAATCTGACTCCGATTAAAAAAAACAATAAAAAGAGACCTGCTGCAATGTGTAAAAAATCTGTATCTGTATGAATGTGTGAAGAAAGTGTTCCTCTACCTCCTCTTCACAACATCTGACTACCTGGCATAATTGGTGACTGCTCCATTTTTATTTTTTTTTATGGTACAGTACGGTTATTTTATGCTGCGGAACGAATTATAAGTTTTAACATGTATTTCTGTGGGAAAATGCGTTTCGTATAATGAATTTTTCACTTAACAGACGTGCACCTGGAACAGATTAAGTACGTTATACGAGACACCACTGTATATGTATTTTTACTATTACATATAAATAAACATAGTAAAAAAGTATATATTGTTTAATTTTTGGAGTCTCCGGAACGAATTAATCAAATTCCTATAAAAGCCTATGGTAAATCGATGATCGGTTAATGAATAATTCAGATAATGAACAAAGTTTTGGAACAGATTATATTCGTTAACCGATCATCCACTGTAATTGCAATTGTAAGTTTCAAATATTAATTAAATTGAATATTCAGTTATTTATATAATATACTAGCTTACCCGTCGCGCATTGCTGCGATCTCAAAAGAAACGAAATTCAAGCAAACTCGTTATAATAAAATTAAATTTTCACTTTATCATTTTTATTGACACTTATTATTATTATTCGTTTTCATCGGGAAAACATTTCAAAGTGTTGTTTCAATTCTATTTATTTATTGGAGTGCTCGTGGATACACGATATTTTTTGTTTTTTCGTCTGGTGCGTACACGAATAATTCGGAAGGTTTTCCGACGCGTGAGCTGGCCACATACAGTTGTCCATGCGAGAAGCACGGATTCTCCAAATTTAGCCCACACACTTG